CTCTAAATATCACCTTCCTATAAGTGACCAACGTGCCCCATTCGTAGTTTTGAAGCAGAACCCTGAAGTACTCAATCTGTTACTGCGATATTAACGGCTGTCTGCTTCGTGAAAGGAAACCGCGCGGAATGCCGCTCGTGAATCTTAGTTACCGGAAAATTTCTCTTGTTCAGAACAACAGTGAAAATCATCGTCCGTTAGGTTACCGGGGCAAAGTATTATTTCTGGATAGAAGAGACCACAGTTCTCTTTCCCCAGAACACAAACCTCCGTACGAGACCCACCCCTCTAATATTGTTACTCGATGTAAACCTTTCCGAAAGCGTAAAATGCTTCTGGTTGTGGTTCACACCGAAAAGTTAGAACGCAATTATTCATTCTTGACCCTTCACTCAATGATGGCCTCACCTATAGAGGAAACTGTCGGTAGCTCAGGTCGCGTAAATGGTCGTTGGCTTGTTCGCTGTGCAGGGTAGAATGATTGCAAACGTTTCATCACCAACTGAGGTGACATCATCAGTGCGTAGTAGTTCCTAGCGGTGGGTTAGTGGTTGTGCCAACCAGCGAACAAGCCAACAACCATGGCCTCACCCCTTCATCTGGATCCTTTTCTTTGTCTGAATACGGTGTGATTGAGCACCGGAAAGCAGAATTTTTGCAAATCAGGAACTACATCAGCCTCATAGGGGAACGAAAAGCTCCCTTGGTGAAATTCGCGTTTGTCGTGCTCTTCACCGGCCAGTACAGTTAGGCTGTTCAATTCAGAGTGTTACCTTGTCGGCCAACATGGGACAAACATATCCATTTGATTTGTCTGGTAACACGAGGCTGGCCGGCCTAACCGAATATCGAGCACGTCTACGGTGTCTGACAATCTTGAAACGATTCTGTGGGAGCCTTCACATCACTTTGAAGACAAGAGTTGGCAAAGACCAGTGACCAAAGTTAAGGAATAGCGAGACAGTGCGCGGATGGGTGACAACTGCTAATGACCCATCTCCTGTGATGGATGATCGAAACACCGGGATATTAAATTGCGTCGGATGCTGTGAATATATCTGTGTGTTTGTTTACAACATGGATATTGAAAGATCACTGAGAATGACAAATTCTGACTTCGAACGCACAATCGAGGACTTTTTTCACTGGGTACCATAATTGCCATTGAAGCAATCCCATTCTAAGCGACCTGCGAGGAGAACCAAAAGGGAAATTGCTCCCTTCCTCTATGGTAAGCATCATTTAGGATTAATAATCTGCAAAGAAAGGATCCTAGAACATCATCTTCCAAGTATTGAGCAGTAAATAACTTGTTCTGGATTTAAATACCTCCGAGAAACTCCCCAATGCACTTGGAAATAAATTGCAATAGTTTAGATGTGACACCCTTTTGGTGCATAGCAGACGTGTTAAGCGAAAGAAGAGTGAGGGCTAAGATACTGCCAGGCTGCCCATTCTGAATCAGTCAAAATGCCGTGTTTGGGCTCGAACTACGGGCCTTCTGGTCAAATAAGCTGGAGCCTTAACCACGTGGAATTACAATCTTCGCAGGACATCCAAGAAGCTGTCACATCCTTCTCCAAGAAATCATTTCATCGCTGTCTTAAGATAACTTTTGCTTGGAGAAACAATTTTTCCAGCCAACTGAACCCTGAACTTCTGTCAGTAAACACGAATATGGGTCTCCAAGTCAAAAGCGTCAGTGGCCCTACCTGAAAGGCGTTTCAATGGATCGACACAACCAGGATAATAACTGGATCGTCGTTCAATGCGCCACATCCCTCAAGTGTGACCACCATCGTCTTCTCAGACGTGATGATTTGGATGCGTCTATTCTGTGCTGATAGAGTGCTCGTAGCACACTCGTCTCGCATCTCAGATGTCCGGAGTTCAGACCCCATTACAACCAAAGATATGCACTACTGGTCAGCTATTGTGAGAACGAAACTCGAGTCAAGTGCTTCCCCATTTGGTGTGGAATATCTGTGTTGGTTTTCAACCGAGCAATAATAATCATAAGTTATTCTCTTAAAACACAGCGTTTTCCTACTAAACAGAAAACCACCTTCGGTTGCAAGTTTCTTGAGACTACAATCCACAACTATAAATACTATGCACAGTAACCGCTTATGCAAGTCTGTATGTAGGATACACTTCTCGCTGGCTACATTGCTTCTCAGAACGTCCCCCGCTAACGTTTTTTTGAGGGAGAAAGGAAAGGTGGAAGGTAACCGAAAGTAGAGAGAGTCAATGTTTCTGTTTGACAGTAAGTTTACTACTAATCACTACTCAAAAGTCAAAGAACGGAGGTCACTGTCCACTATTACACAATCGGTGGTCTGATTTGACTTGCAATTGTTGTAGGTCAGTTGATCCTGAGTGTTCCTACGAAGTATTTTTGTGTAAACTTGCACAAAAGTCAGAAAATCGCCTTTCTTATGAACATTAATGGTTTGAGGTATGAACATTCGAATCAGTGTACACAACGTTGATCACAAATGGCGCAGAATTGCTATCCAGTCTCTTGTTCTACTGCAAGGTTACCTGTCAGTTTGTTGCTGTATAGGTCACTTCGATACCTGTTCGAAATCTCCGTGATATTGCCCAGGTTCATCTGTGAGAGACAGTAAGATATAGACAGGTTTCGTTTCGGTCGATAGGAATTTCGGTCTAGAAGATACTGGCTGCATGGTTTGGTGCTCAACACGGACTGGATGTGAATTTTGGTTGAAAAAGTTTTCGCTGGGCTGACGTATGAACACTGCTGTCCACCCTTAAATTTATCCATCTATCCATCCATCCATCCATCCATCCATCCAACCATCCATCCATCCATCCATCCATCCAACCATCCATCCATCCATCCATCCATCCAACCATCCATCCATCCATCCATCCATCCAACCATCCATCCATCCATCCATCCATCCAACCATCCATCCATCCATCCATCCATCCAACCATCCATCCATCCATCCATCCATCCAACCATCCATCCATCCATCCATCCATCCAACCATCCATCCATCCATCCATCCATCCAACCATCCATCCATCCATCCATCCATCCAACCATCCATCCATCCATCCATCCATCCAACCATCCATCCATCCATCCATCCATCCAACCATCCATCCATCCATCCATCCATCCAACCATCCATCCATCCATCCATCCATCCAACCATCCATCCATCCATCCATCCATCCAACCATCCATCCATCCATCCATCCATCCAACCATCCATCCATCCATCCATCCATCCAACCATCCATCCATCCATCCATCCATCCAACCATCCATCCATCCATCCATCCATCCAACCATCCATCCATCCATCCATCCATCCAACCATCCATCCATCCATCCATCCATCCAACCATCCATCCATCCATCCATCCATCCAACCATCCATCCATCCATCCATCCATCCAACCATCCATCCATCCATCCATCCATCCAACCATCCATCCATCCATCCATCCATCCAACCATCCATCCATCCATCCATCCATCCAACCATCCATCCATCCATCCATCCATCCAACCATCCATCCATCCATCCATCGTGCTTCCGCATAGTGACCATCGGTGGGCACCGGAAAAATGTTACAGCTGAACGACTGTAACAATTGCATTATTCCGTATTAAACCAGATTCCTCATTAGCCTCTTGTTTGGTCAAGTAAATCAATGTGCCTTGAAAGGCACCAGATTCTCATAAGTGAAACTTTCCCTTCTGCCCTTTTGACAGACTTGATTAAGCAACTTAAATGATGACACACTTCTGAACCTGTAAGAGCGGCAAAGCAACCACCAATGGCGAACACGCAATGAATGGCCTATTGGGGCGAATGTTGGTAGCTCAGGTGACGCAGTTGGTCTTTGGTTTGTTCGCTGAGAGCTGGGCAATCTGAGTGCACAGGCTTCATCATCAATTGAGGTGACATCATCGGTAACATCAGTGTTATACGTGCTGCTAGCCCAAATCCGCCACGGACTACGATGCTTCCCTTCCGTGGATCGTGTCTCCGCATGCCAAGGGTTTCGCGTTTCCAGACTGAATTTATGGCCTTCTTGATTTAAATGGATGAATTTGAAGGTTAAAGAGCTATATCCCCAGATGGTCACGTTGTGTTTTTTTATTCGCGTACATAATTTCCTTCTCATTTGTGCAGTGTAGAGCGTCCTACAGTTGAGTCGGTATATCACATTTTTTATCCAGTTTTTTGTTCTGATCTTCGGTCTTGAGATCCAATTTGAGCTGTGTCCAGACGTTTCAGGTCTTTTGTGTGAATGAAACTCCCACGTGACTGAAGGATTTGTCCTCTCCGCGATGTTAACCTAAGACGCATCTACTATATTTACAGCTGGTCGTTGCGTACGGATGTCGCCGAAACCAGTGTGCATGTAGTCAAAGTAGGATATAATAAAGCAGCGTTTTCGGCTCGGGTTTCTAGAAACCTGTGTTCAGTTCATTTTTAGGGCCGTCTGGATGATCTTTCTCTTGAATCTGGGGTCCACTAGTAGACTGGATCTACCGGAGCTGACAGTTGCATTTTATTGAGTCCCAGTGTTTATTGGAAGAACTGCCCGCTTAATTTTCATTCGAGTTGAACTAAACAACAAGATACCAATGTAATTGCGGATACTACTGATGAGGCATGCGAGTAGTATATGGTTTTCTCGTAACTACGTCTAATGGAAGGTGGGGTTCATCACGGAACGTGTGAAGCTACTTTGCAACGCTCGTTTCCGATCGCGTGATACCCAAAAAAGTTCAATAAGAAGCGTGAGGATGTTCAGTTTTTGAAAATGAGGTGCAAATGAGATGCTCATTTTCCTACCCAATAGTTTGTAACTGTTTAATTGGTGTTTGTTAATAAACAGCCCCTCGGCGAAGGACTTTCCTCTTTACACGAATATCTATTCACCTCTACTCAGGCTGGCTACAACTGAATTACAAACAACGGAGAATCCCAATCCACAGTTAACCCTCAGCATGTAGCTTCTGTTTGCCCCGGGTCTGGAAAGTATGCAAAAATCAATTCGAGCAAACGAGCACCAACTGTTGTATTTGGCAAACAAGGCTCGCGAGCATCCACTCGGTACACTGACGGGAAACTTGTGGAAGAAGAGCCTGGACACTGGAAAGTGGCAGCTTCGGTAAGCATTATTCCATATGTGTCAGCCTGTCAAAAGTACAAGTCCATATTTTTCCCCTCGAAGTGTACATGGATAGTTTTTCAGTGACACTATCATATGACTGGCAGCATCAATGTCCCTTTCTCTGAAAACGTTTCCATGACTGGTAAAAATACGCAGCGAATAACTGAATTCAATTCACGTGATCGCAGTGTATGTTCTTGACAAAACAAACTGATCATCAGGTTGCTGAAAACAATTTGACAGCCCTCTGGCGCTTCGCCTTCTTCCCAGGTGATGATCCTTCTTCAAGATCATCTCCTGAATGAGGAAAAACGTGTGATCATTCGCTTTGGTTTTGCCTTCATCAAGCCTGGCAAATAGTTTTAGCTGCATTGAATGTCCTCGTTACAGTATGCCGAACGTGCCACCCCATCACAATACACAATAAGAATGAGAACCTGTGAAACGTGTCTGACGTGTTTGAAGAAAGTGGGTCTTTATTGGGCTATCCAGCGCGTGCACGTCAACTGTACCTGTCTAAATCGAAGGGAGATATTCCGTGAGGGGACGTAACAAAATGGGTCCGCGAAACTAAAGTTTGCTGAAAAATCTTGTATTGACAAAAATCATCATGCTCTTGAATATACCGCAGACAGACCAACAAGATAATCGCAATAGTTCAATGTCGACTGACGGTTAATTGAAATCGACGGTATCAGCGGCTCGAACTCCGGCATAGCCGCTGGATCTGTTGCATGCAACTGTTGGGTTTGTGTGAACAATGATTTTTATCCCTCTCAACTAGAGGGATGAGCCGTTGCCTTTTAAATGAACTCGTTTCTGTCTGAACGGCAAAGAGACTTTGATGACTGCTCCCAGTGCTTTTTCCGTCCACAAGCAGAACCAACGTCCTTGCCGATGACATGGACTGTGATTTTGAAAGAGATAACCGACATTTTCATAAAGGAAACTACTCACAAGGTTGATGAAAACTCTTCGACAGCCCA